CCCCATTCACTCCGAGGTTACCACTTGCTTGCTCACCAGCACCGATCTCTGAAGGACGTGCCAGTGTGAAATCGAGCCGATCTTTTGCACTTCATCGGATTTGATTTATATCCCCCGGGTTTCAAATCCTTTTACTCACAATTTTTATCCTCATTCCCCACCCACTTGATGGGGGGCAGACGGCGGGAGAAGGGAAACTTATTGATTTCCCATAATTTCTTCCCAGCATGTTCAACTTTTCTGCAACTATTTTAGTACTTTCAACAACTCAACTAACTCGGAAAATAACTGCTCAATACCCCAAGAGGTTTACACCGCCCGCACGCAAGCTCTCACGTGTGATCTAATCGCAGAGTCGAAAAAAATGTCACACCGTTGGAGCCCTTGAGCATACACTGATAGAAAAAAAATGAAATTTCATGGACAGTTGACTACCAATTTTCAGGACAGTAACACTGAGTGCGATTTAGGGGAAAAAATCATGAAATTTCAGGTTTCACTGAAAATTCAGTAAAATTTCAGAATTTTAAGGGGCATGAAGAGGAAAATTCCTTGATTTATTTGAATTTCCAATCTAATATGAATATTCAGTGTCAAATTACATTGAATTTTCAGTGAAATCGAAAATTTCATGATTTTTTTCCCCCTAAATCGCATTCAGTGTCACTGTCCTGAAAATTCCAGAATATGTTTCCCAGAATTTTCTGGTTTCCTATTCATTAGCAGGGAAAAATGGAACGGAAGCTTACAGTTCTGTTTGATTTTTCCAGAAAATTCTGAATTTTCAATGACAAGATTTCCTGAAATTTTAATGCAATTGGACCACGACAAAAATTTCCGGAATTTGGCACGGAAAATGCAGACAAAAATTTTGAACAGCGTATGAAGAACATTCTCGAGCCTCAACCGTATTATTTTCTCTCTCCCAATTTCGTAAGCCATAAAGTGAATATATTTCCTTTTTTGGGATAGAATTTCCCTTGGGTAAGTCAAGAAGCGTCCTCCTTAATTCACGCTGAAGGGTATAATGCCTGGAAGGGCCAGTTAACCCGACTGGAGCAGAAGGAGAGGCTACGAAAAGTTAGAGTAGTTGGTACGTTGACACAAGAAACGTGATCCTATAATTTCTCATTCTGGGTATCTTGGTGTAGGTACCAGAGTCCTTTTCCCTTTCTCTCATCCAGTACGTGCACTATTCGAAATGGTAACGTAAGGCAAGAGGTAGAGCATGAAGATAGAAAGGACACGGTTTAACGGTAGACGAACCAATTAGAATACTGAGTCCCAATTTCCTTACAAAAGTAAGATATCCTACAGGATGACAAAGGGGACGAAGGGGAAGGAGTTGAATCACCCAATGTTTGAATCGTTAAAGTAATCTGCTCCGAAATTTCGAGTTCCTTCTCATTTTTCACATCTGAGTTGCAGAGGCCAATTAGGATTTTTTTCATTTCTGCATTGCCTTTTTTTGTAAAGCAACCAGCACTCGGCCGATTCTATCTTAGCCACTCTCCAACTTATCTCTTCGCTCTCTTCCTTATACACACTGCAAAAGCAGATCGAATTAGGAAGATTTGAGTTCTTTCGTAATTGCACCGCCGAGGAGAGACAGCGTTGAATAGGCTAGCCTTTTCAGATGCCCGCGATACACAGATTCCGTTACAGATACGCTGTGATTTTCCCCATCCCCTAAACCCAGTGGTTTTCCAAATCTCAATGAAATTTAATTGGACAACATACTTATTCTCGTCACAAAAGAGAGTACGCGCACATGATATTCGTACTGGGTAAATTTTCTCAGAGGAATCGACTGCTTTGTTCCTTCAGTCTCAGGGAGACTCAGTTCTTCCCCGTCACAGTGGTTTCGATTCATCTAAGTAATGTGATGAGAGGCAAATAAGAAAAACCACGAATGACTTCTTTGATCTGTGAAGAAGAAGAGTTAGAGGCATCAGCCTACCAACAGTTTGCCTCCGCTGACATTCTCTCCCCTTGAACGACAGGTGCTTGTGGTTATAAAGCACCGTTGCAGATGATAAGATGACATGAACTGTCTTGAGTCAAGGCATGAGGTGCCTCAGCTGTCATCGCCCTAACACCGTGCAACATCTTATGTATCCAAGGAGATGTTGAGAGCATTTTCATTGGATATATATTGTTGTTCGATACCGAAGCCACGTTTCGAGTAGAGAACTCTATGTAACAATGTATAAAATGAATGTTCTGGTGGGGCATGGGATGTTAACCAGGCGTCTTAGTGGTACCATATATTGAATCCAATGGTTTATCTCAGTGTAATCATACTTCATCGTGTACACAAGACTCATCCAACCGGAAGATTACTGTACGGGGTTTTGTTTGTGTATGCGGAAGGTGTTTATACTAGTAGATCATTGTTTCCTTACCGTTCAAAACGTGAACAGCTATGGTGGTCTTGGCTCTTTCCGGTACGATGCAGCTGTAGTTTCCTGCATGTCGTGGCGATGCTTTCTCAACGACTAGTGTACTTGATATAACTGGTATCTCCTTGTCACCCACTAATTCAGTCGTTCTATTTTCACTGCAAGCAATGTATTTCCGCTCAATCAATTAACGATTCAACTGACAATTGAGAATATCTGTTATTCAATTTGGGAGAAATGGCTTGGAATATGAGAGAACTGTTGAAAACGGTTTCCATCGGAAGCTATAAAAATAGACATTTACAAATTTACTCTGAGGAATGTTCACATGTCATAATTCAATAAAAAAGGTCAAATGCTACATGAACTTCTTATTCAGGTTTTAGATGCGGATCTGAAAATAGGATTTTACTAGTCGGATCAAATCACATCGAGGGTGTATGTGGGGCTGCCAGAACGAGGAGGAATGTCATATAAATCTAGAAGCGTTGTAAGAGAAAGGGGGGCAATTCGCATGAGACTAACCTGACGTCCGATGTGAGAATTTCATCTCCCCTTGTCCATAGTAAAGATTCGTTGAGCTTTTCAAGTACATCTCTACCCTCGCACCTCAGCCTGAGCGTACTGCCCGCCTTGAGGTGTCTCTCCCCTGATATCGTTCGTCCAGAATCGTCCGTTATATTCAGAGAGGGTGCTGTAGGCATAAAGTGAGATTTATAAGTATGACTGGTGAAGCTCCCATTCTGGATTTCCAAGAAAAAAATCAAGAGAAATATGTACGCGTACATCACTTCTGTCATTGTGCGAACGCGAAATTTTTATGGTCACGGATTCAGTGCGAAGTGATGCTTCCCATTACCTCGAAAGATGAGTAAATTGAAAGGTATATAGATTTGTAAGCTTCAACCAACTTAATGCTCTCGTTTCTCAGATTCAGTTAAATCGCCAGTAGCATCCACGATAAACTCGTTCACTCGTGCATGGAGGGGAAAAAAAATGCGAAATTGGTTGGATTTTTCTCTTCTCACCGTTGTTGGAACATCACGATTCGTCTGGTGTTGCTGGAGATGATTTTTCTCATCGGGAAACCACCATTAGGATTCAGCTCAACTTGCCAGCTGCAATTCTCGAGGCGACCGCTATGCAAATTTCATGACATCGCGGTATGCTCTTACTCTTTACTCTACTCTACTTTTGGTACTTTTCTTAACCCCCCTTTTCTTCCCTTTCTGTATCTCTCTCTCACTCGCTCCCCTGTCTTTCCGGACTTCCTTTCCGGTTTTCGACTATGTACAAGAGACAATGTCACTGAGTCTGAGTCCAGCGGCTGTTTTTGCTTTCCCTCCAGAGCGTTTCGCTTGGCGGGAAAAAAAGATGAAAAAACCGAGGGCGGAAGTGGTGTTTCTTTTTTGCATTATTTTTCCTCTACGTGTTTTGCCCTTTTTACATGTCCGGAGTTCGTTTTGTTTCGTTGGATGTTGTTTTTTTCATCCTACTTTGCCCCTTTAATACTCGAATTGCGTTTCTCATAAGGTATTTCCGCAGGTTATTCTCCTCGGTGGGAAGTTTTTATCGGATTAATGGAGAGAAAGCACTGATGGACTTGGATAATTAATGTTTCTGAGAAATGTGAGAAGGGTTTTTGGGGGAATGCTCAGTCTCTAACTGGTTGTTCTTGTTTTCTGTATAGATAGTTCTGAGAGATGAATGGTCTCGAGCGGATTGGACTTGTCGATCTGTCACGGCTTGTAATTGCCAACGCATATTCGATGCATCAAACCGTCACGTGGCAATCGATCAAGAACTTCACCACTCTAATCATCGGGGGCCATTGCTCTTAGGAAGAGCTGCAGGACGAGTTTGAAGCTTTTACTCATGACTTTAAGTTCCACCGATACCCTGACAATTTGCTGAGGGATGAAAAAAATAATAGGAAACGAGATGGAACATAGTCACGAAGGAGAGGAAAATAATCCCCATCACGTTGAGATGATAATTTCCGGTGTTGCCATTCCATCGACGCTCACTGCTGCTAACGTGTAAGCTTTTCTGCTGTCGTTAAATTAATAATTTTCACTTCATCCGAGTCCCCTACGATGACTAATAAAGTTGTCAATTTCCTAAGGCCTTCATATGGATTCTTCACCTCTCTCCAGTATAATTTTTGAAGTGGAGTAGAATTATTTCTTTTTATCGTGTTACCTTTGATATTACTTTGAGGCAGCAGCATCAGCCACAAAGTTGCGTTCTTGAATTTCATCTGCCCCAAGAATTGAATTTTCTCGTTTGGCTGAAGTATATTTAGGGTAGCAGCAAGAGAAACTCTCGAGACAAAAGAAAATTTGATAACATCGGTAACTTCATATTGAATAGAATACAGACAGTTTCTCAAACTTTTTCATTTGCTACCTTGATTCACTGAAGAAAACTCGAGTCATCCACGTAGAAAGTTCTTTTCTTTGTCACTTGGTCGTCATGCACGCTGAAAGCATTTCATGTAGATACGAATTGTTGTAGAAAGTCTCATAGAAGCCGTCGATCCATCAACAAAACTTTCCTCCATCTTCTATTTTTTTCCAATTCTCCTGGGAGCTTTTCCCACTTATACGACCCATACTTGGGTTTTCCCTCAGCAACTAACCTCCATACCGTACAAACTACACATACAGTTATGTCTGAGCTGTATGGCAGTTTGTCGACTAACCTTGTTCAAACTTGGGTTTTGCAAAGTTCTTTATTTCAGTGAATTGGTTGCCGGTGGTGGGTTGCATCTCCTTCGAGATAATAATGCTCTTTGATCACCAGCCTTGTATTCTTCGTTGTGAGCTCTTACTCACTCACTTCCGTCCATCCTAGTTTTATTCACCAGATCCGTCTCGATTTCGCTGGTAAGAAGGTGAATTTTACAGTCTGCGAGAGACCTTTCCCATACCTACTTTATACTTTCAGCTGCAGACTCTCGGCCGCTCAGCTTTTCCCGGTTGAAGATTCAGCCAGTTCCCTCAATCTTTTCGTCTTATTTCTCCCCTCGTTTTTCCTTATTTTGTTCTTCCTCCTGGTCTTGCTCGGTGAGTTCGGTCGAAAGCATCTCGATAGGAAAACTACTTTCCGGTGGATTGTAAACGACGGCCGAAGTAGGGAATGAAGGTGAGCCTTCAAAGATCAGGGGAACTAGTTAATATCCACTGGCCATTGGCTGTCCATATGGCTGACTTGTTCACGTCAAACGCACGACACTCTGGACCGTGATTACGATTAATTAATTTACTCAGGGGCGAGCGTTATCCGGGCTTGAAGATCCTCCTGTGTCCAATCACCAGTGGCCACGACAGGCGGAGCGTGGGGGGGGGGGAGAGTATGTTTCAGTGCACTCAAATACACATATATCTCGTGAGACGTCTCCTCCACTTTTACCCTTTCAAGTTTCAGCGTCTCTTGGCAGTGTTCTGTACTCTCACTCTTCATTGCCACCTCTTAGCCAACAACTAGTCTGTTTATCTGGGCTTTCTAATAAGTCGTCTGTCCCTCCAGTCGGTCTTGATAAATAAAGGGATAAAGTGGGCAACTCTTCGTGTTGGAAGTACTGGATTGCCTGTGGTCTTAAGCGAGTATAGCGAGAAAATGGGGGGAAAGAGAGGAGAAAAAAAATATTTAATCGCAAACTAATTTGAAGTTCGAGTGAATAAACAGAGAAAAGAGAGGGAAAATAAAAGCCACCGAGAGGGTGAGTTTTATTAAATCCACTTTCATCCTTCAATCACTCAAGCCTTGTCCATTGTTGAATCTATTGAATTAATTTTTTTTCTTGGATAATTCTTCCGCGTACTTATTTCTCTTTTTACCGGCCTGAAGTTGAACGCAATGAAAGCCTCGCTGGGAATGAAATCTGTCCACGAAGGAATTTCATTAATTTATCAGTTGAAAGTTGAATCAAACAATTCTGAAGCACTGAGTTATTTCAATGGAAATTCCTTGCCCCAACTTTTTCCACTTTTGTCGTGAGTGATGATTATGAAAAATTGACATTTTTGTCGATAGACTGTCAACGATAGTTTCTCATTAATTTAAAAATTGGGGGTGGAGAATTTCATCGTAAATCACAATGAGATGATTTTTGAAAGATTCTCTTGATTTAGCCATTCCCATGTCAACAAATTTCCACATCACCGTAAGTATCGTGGAAGATTCAATCAAAGCCATGTCGTCCAAGTTTGCCCGTCTCCGCGAACGTGCAACTCTATGAAATTCTTCACAGATACCTATAGCCGATGTGGAAGGACGGTGTACTCGAATCTACTCATACTCAATGCCCATTTGCCCCTATAACGAACTCAAACTGGTACACGCAGTGTGGCTTTCCGAAGGTCTATATCCCCCAGCCTCCTTCCGTCTCTCACAGTCCTACATCCTCACTTCTGAGTATGTCGAGAATCGAGAGTCCTCTCAACCCCTGCTCACCGATGCTTACATCGGAGAAATTCTCTCGTATCTTCTGCGATGCACGTACAGGCATGTACCACTTCGCCATATCTAGACTTGAACACTCACCGGTGGATCACGTTCGTGGGTGGTTATATTTTGGTGGTATAGAGAGGGAGTAAGGAATAGATGTGCCGAACATCAGGGACAACTTATACGTGCTCAAACCCACTGTAATTTGCTTTGTAGTTGCCATCGAACCCTGTCAAACTTTCAACTATGGCTCCAGTGGATGCTTTCTGTATATATTTCCTAAAGCTGTTCGTGTTATTATCGCCTTATGGAGTTATTGCGCGACACGGTGACAATCATGATACTCCAACGTCTACGAGAATCAGGCCCTACCAACACGTGGCTCATACGTCATTTCGAGTCGAGAAAGGACTTTCTTGCGTAAAACATCATGACTCGCCCACATCTTTTGGGGAAATGGTCATGTCCCGTATCGGGGTGATCGGCTCTCAAGATGGTCATATTTTCATCTTCATCAAAAAATTATTTAAAAAAATATAATATGGGCCAATTCCATATGTTTTTCAAATTTATAAAGAATATATAAAAAATATATATATGGCTCGGTTGCACCAAGCCCTGTTATCCAAATAAACCCCAGGGTAAACTTTATCCTCGGGGTCAATTATAGCGTAGGGGTCATGATTTTTCAATATTTGACCCGGAGAAGAATTTTTTATTCATCCTGTAGCCCCATTTGAATTAACACTGATTTAACCTTGGCATTAAATTTTATTTTTTGTTTCTGGGATAAATTTGAGATACTCTCCCGGGTAAAATAATCCATCGAACATCCAAATTTACGTTTTTTCTTATCTGACGTTTTCGTTACCCGGAGCTGGTGCAACCGGGCCTGTATATTTTTTGAATATATTATATGTATATATGGTTTATATATATTTTTTATATAAATTGGGCCAATTTAAGATACAAGATCTATGCGCGCGCTCTCTCGCGCGCTGATCTATTCATTTGTTGAAATAAAGAAATGGAATTCATTGAATTTCATTTTCTCATGAATACCTTATAAATATTAATAATGAATCAAAGAGAATTCGACTAATGATTGAAGTGAATAGCGAAGTAGAGTAAAAGCATCTATAAAGAATTTTTCATTTTCAATTAATTATCTTCAATTTTTTTTAAATAATCGGTCGCCATAAAAGGACAGAATTTATTAATTTCACCGATGATATATATACATGAGAAATATATATATTATATATATATATGACGTGAAAAAAAAATTTACCACTGAAGAATTTGAAATTATATCACTGAAGAATTTGAAAATGCCACGTGTTTTTTTTTGTGAATAACTTCGTGTCACATATTGACCAATCAGAATTAAGGATTAGCGGTCAGGCAGTTTCGAGATATTTCGATATAAAACAACTTCACGTTTCTTTCATCTTTAGTAAATAGGATTTTTCAGCATATAAATTTATCCATGTGAGCATCGTCTGATCGATAATGGAATGATCTCCTCACGCTCCTAATGGGCGTTTCCGCGTAAATCCCGAGTGGTGAATTACGTCGGGCATTATTCTCGAGCTATTCAAAATCCTTCTCCGTAAGTCGATAATATGCATGTTAATGCGATGAAGAAATCAACGGAGATGAATATCCGCCTGCCGTAGCTATGTTTCATAGTAATCTGTTCTGAAATCATGGATCGGATTAGTGATCCTTCGAGCACCAGTAACCCAGCTTCCGATTTGGACTGAATTGTTGAACTGAAACGATTAAAGACTTCGGTAGAAGCCAACTCTATGCTGTTTTTTTTTCTTCATTCATTTTTTCCCCTTAGGATTTGGTTGTCTTTTTGTAACCAGCGTACATTTCAGTGCTCACTTTGGTCTGTGGCCAAAATGAGCCTCAGGCTCACTCGATTCTTCCTCTCTCTGCAGAGAAACTCTATTATTTCGGAATGGACGGCTCTTGAGGGGAAATCTTCGATCAAAATCCTAATTTCACCGAAACGATGATGCTGACGATTTTCACCTAGATCGTGAGCTAATAAAACTCGACTGGATCGATAATTTTATCCCCTCATTCTGCGTCGGAGGGAGTGTAACATCAAAGAGAGGATATAATACCCAAAATTGACGATTATAAAGATAAATTACCTGTTATGAAAACGTGGTATGTTTTAACCATGTAGTTGGTGGGATCGATTTCCACCTGACACTTGTATATTCCACTGTCTCGAAGTGTTGCATAGGCGATTTGCAGCCTCCAGTTGTCTGGATACCTTAGAAAAAAAAACAATGAGATATAAATTTCGTTTTATTCAAGGCTTCATAAAGTTTGTAAAGTGATATAAATATTCCCCAGCGATTTGAAGCACTACCTTGAATCACTTGGAACGTAAATCCCTCGGCTTATTTCTCACTACCCTCTTTATCTCATTTTTACATTTCAAACACTCCCTCTCCCTCTTCTCAAGCGAATCATGAACGATTTTCCGGTTCCACGAGCCCCTGTAAAACTGACAAGGCTATAGGCAAAACTGACAAACATTTCCAAATGTCGAATCTATTTCTACCGCTCGATCCTGTCTTATGTTGATATGAAATCCCCTTAAGAGGCTCATAAAATATCCGGAAAAATTGGCAATTTTAGACTTTCAGTATCGACAGATGTTATTTTCTCTTTTATAAATAATATCTCCGCCTCAAAAGATATCGTATCGATCTGACAATACGCTGGATTACAGTTTCTTTTTATATCCTTTTTCTCTCCGTTTCCAGAACTGGCGAATAAAAAACAAATAACTTACTGGAATTTAAGGCTGATCCGTTCGTCCGCGCTGTATTGGCCATTTCCAACTGTGAGGAGCCGGATGGAGTCTTTATTGGGCTGAAACCAGGTCACCTGTAAAAAAAATCATAGTTGTATTGAAAAAGGACTTGAAACTCTATGCAATTTTCAGTGAATGGATGGCTTGATCTACATCCCGATGTCAGGTGTGAAGGTTAAATTTGAATCGCTGATGTTCATGACATGTTGGTAAATTTGTTTGTCATGCGAGTGGGGCTAATGGCGTATTAGAATACAGCTGTCGGTTTACCTCAATATTGACTAGCGTCGTTTGATGATGCACACGTAATGGTCTGGACAATTTAATTGGCCATGGGAAGCCGTACATGGAGGCAAATAGCGAAGAAATTTTATGGGAAAATTTCCCATCAATTACGACGAGAGATAGGGGTGGTTAATTGGCTGACGAGAGAGCCTCGAGGAATTCCTCGAGCAATTCATCCGACTAAAAAATTGTGGGGAAGATACTCGCGTTCTTGTGCAAATTTTTTTTTCGCGAGAAAAAAAATAACGAAAAAGATTACAGCGCCGAGGTTTCCGGGAAGCGGGAGCGTATCGATATATATACAAGGCTTCTAGGACATGCCACTGGAAATACTTGTTTTCATTTCCCAGTCTCGGATCTCACATCCTTCTTCCATCAGTTTCACATTTCGTATTCTAGGGAATACGAATCTCGCGGGAATTTAAAACGTCTGATACGTGCACACAACTCCGTGTATCTCGCTTCTTATGGGTGTCTGGGAGCAACTGAAAAAAAGTGGCACGAGTTGGATCTGAACTCTGTTAAAGGAACGTCCCCGGTAGAATCGAATGGAGGATGAGGCGCAAAAACACCTATGCGAACATTCGAACGTGATCGAGCAGATTTAGAGAAGAACAAGAAGGAGAAAACAAAAATAGGTAGAACTGTATAATTTGCAAAATAGTTTCTGCACTCTCGATATTTATGTTTCGCGGAGGAAGGGAGAACTCACGGGTCAAAGAATGGTAATTTCATTTGCACTTTATGAGAACTCGGAGGATGAAATTTGAATTTTATCTGCGGAATGAAAGAGCAGTGGAGGCCGGGCTGCCATGATAATCACATAAACTGCGATGCGATAACCGAGTTGCCCGAAGATATCGAAGTTACTTGAGGTATGCCGAGACAATGCGAGGGAAACAACAGACGGAACAGCTAATTTAATATTTGATGAGATGGAAGTTGGATTCAACTTATATTAAATAAAGAATTTAAAGTGAATTGATGAAAAATGCATAATGACGGTATATAAATACCTTTTTATCTCCAAGAAGTCCAATTCTACAGTCAAGTTGTACAGTGCTGCCAATTCTTTCAGTGATATTCCGATGATCGACCTCATCCACGAAGAAAGGTCCGAATTTTCCGAAGGAGCTCGGTACACTTGGCAGTTTAAAACCCAAAAAATTGTGTTTAGTTGTCCACATGAGAGGTATATTCGTACTGCTCTCCTCGTCGTCAGCCTTCATAACTGTATTGAGCGAGGGCTTGATCTCGTAAAATATTTTATTTGGCTGACCCTCGAGCAGATTGATGGACGTCTTAGAGTGGTCCTTTCTCGAATGGCTTCTACCATCGCCCTCCCATGATTTTTCTTTACGGGTTACCGTGGAGAACCTGGTATCCGGTGCGTTGGGCTGAGTAGAAACGATCAAGGGTGATTCTAGAGTGCCCTCCGTCGAGCCAATAGCATTTAGAGGAGGAAATGGACTGTCGCCCGGAGATTCTGTGGTGTTAGTCTGGTACACGAGCTTTTCACTCCTCACGTGGGGTATCATTGCCAGCGTTATTGACGTTGATGTGGAGTTGTTCGAGGAATTTTTTCCCTTTTCATCATCACTACCTTGTAATAAAGTATTTGGGTTGACTCTAGTTATTTCTGTATCACTATTTGATGTCTGATATGGCCCCGTTGATGTTGACAAGACTTCTCCTTCGTCCATTGTTAGAAGTGTATCCTTGACGATCAACAATGCATCCTTCTCCAATTGATCCGAGGAAACTCTCTGACCCCCAGCCATTCCCACAATGCCCTCCTTGAAGCTTCTATCGTCACGACCTCTTCTGTAAGCCTCCCTCTTTCTGAATCCAATGCCAGGTGAGATGATTGGAACATCCACCAACTCCAGTTTCATTTCAAATTGTTTGCCATCTCCCTGAAACTTTTCAGAAGATGCCCCAACAGCGCTGTTCGTATCTTTCCATTGGTAAATGGAAAGCCTCTCAGGTTTATGTGTAGTACTACGATCAGCTTCCATTCCGTCGATGGCCCTCCAGTTACCACCATTCACAGCGACTTCAATTCTACGTTTTCCAGAACAGCGTACAGTAGAGGAAGACGTGGTGGCACTATTGATGGCGCTAGCACTCTTATTCGGTCGATGACGAATGTGCTCAAATGTACTGCTGCTTCTGCTCTCCGTCTCTGTAATGATGGTGAGGAAAAAAAAAGGTCAAATTCATGGCTATCGACTCGACCCTTCATATCTCGGGGAAAATGTATTTGTCTCGGAAATTGTGGGTTTGGACAGTGTCCATCGATATGTGCTGGGAATTGGATCGCTCCTTATGAATGAAACTTATGCATTTCTGTCGCTATTTTCATGCTCAGCACGTTTCAACGAAAATCTAGTCTAGTAGTAAACACATTTCACTCTAATCTATTTGTCGCACAATGAAACGTCTGTCATGTCACTGTCAATTTTGAATATTTCTATTTCAACTCGAGCACTAACATCGCAACGTGAAATTGTTTCCCTCCCTCTGTAAATTCGATTTTGTATTGGAATATTCATGTCTAGTTCGCTGCATTTGAAAAATCGTATTAAAATTTAAGCTCTGAACATTTTGCATTTTTCAGTACATCCTTTCCACTCTAAGTTCAGCGTATGAATGCATGAGACTCCGTGTTAAGTCTCAAAAGATGGTAAGGGGGAGCACATTTCCAAGTGCGTGCTTCAAACAGAAATCACACATCTGGAACAGCTGTCTATGAATGTGTCGGAGGAACCCTACGAATGGAGGAAGGTAACAGTTCTTTCATAATATTCGCTCTTCCATCACAAGTTGTAGCGCAAGTAATACACACTTCGTTAGTCTCATCTTCGTCCAATGCTCGTACGCTTGTTGAGGCACTCATGTGCGAATCCACCTGATCTCATTCCTGGAGCATTCCATTTACGGATACAAAATGCGAGAATAAAGAAATACAAAGTGCATGCCGAGAGGATGAGGGCGAAGGGGAAGATGAGAGTTAGCACTAGAATAAAGGCGATGCAATACAGACGATACCATTCACCCGAAGAGAGAGAAGAACTCGGCGTGAATTTGTTTGCCCTGGAGTCCCTGATATTGCCAGCAGTTTATGCTATAGGTATCATGACGCTTGCGGGGGAATTGTCGCTGGGTAGAAAGCAATTTCGTCAGAGTGAAACGCGCAATGAGTATAGATATTTTCCTCGTTCTTTCTATGTTATGCTGGGGGTAGGGGGATCGATTGCGCATGCGCTATCCACCAAGCTCCGCTTTTGAATGCGGCATTCTATATGTTAATGTTTATTTAAAATTTTTAAGCGAAAGAATTTTTGTCATGTAAACGGCATTGCGTGCTTGAATATCCATTGCAATTCTGGGAAAGATGAGATTTGAGGTTTTGCTATTTTTTTTGTGCTTTTATATTCTTCTCATGTACTCTCGGATTTTGCGAAATATCTCGTGCTAATATCTGCAATGATTTTCACGTTAAAATTGGAAGGGAAAAATCTCAGTTTAATCATAGTACACTGTTAACAATTTTTTTTAGTTCCACTGAAATTTCGACTAATTTCGTCATTAAAAATTCGGAATTTTATGGAAAAATCGATGAAACCTGTAAATTTCAGCTCAATTATTCCGCGAAAATTAGTAGAAATCAGAATTCCGGTAAACATAGTCTTGAATTTTGAATAAATTGAAAATTCAGCGTAATTTGGCACTGAATATTCATGTTTTAATTTAAAATTCAAATAAATAGAGGAATATTCTTCTTCATGCTGTTGAAAGCTTTGGAATTTCCCTGAATTTTTAAGGAAATGTGAACTATCATGATCTTGTGCACGAAAAACAATCACGACATTTAACTTTCATTTAATTTTCACAACTCGCTTGTCCACGAAATTTCAATTTTTTTCCAACAGTGCACTCTTCTGACAATGAATTATATAATTACCGGGTATTGTCATGGTGAAAATGGCGCCGAAGACGGCTATGACAGCCACGGCTGGCCAACTCAGCTGCGGCATTTCAGCTAATTAGTTATCCTTCCTCTCAGCCCTCCGGTACGTCCGCCATTTCCCTCGATTTTTTTCCCTCTCCCCTGGAAACATCAAAGTCAATATCCAGAATATTAGCATTTGATTAACTGAACATAGTTGAGTTTAACGGGCACTGATATGATTAATTAAAACAACTTGGGGTAATATTTGCCTCGAGGAAACATTCGAAGAGAAACCATTTGATCCAACGACTGCTATCTCTGTACTCTCAAGTACTTATACGTGTATGCAGTTCACGGGGCTATATTAATTAACACGGCCAGACGTCGGTAGATTGCATACACAGAGTCATGCTCTGCATACAATAGCTCTGGTGTACAACTGTGCTGTATTATGGTGAACTTTTGCACCATAGCAGGACAGCCAAACAAACCGTAACTGTGTGCACCTGATATCACTACGCGCTTTTTGTCAATTCCCCCTCCCCCCCCAGACTTTTTTCATAATTGGGAAATCTTCTATTTATGCAAATTAATGTCTTGAATATTTATATAAGAGCAATCCGATTCAGCAGTCTCTCCACTAGGAATAACACAGCATACACTATGGAAACAGGAAATTACGCTGAAATGAAAATACTCGGAGATGAGAAATCTGGGGAGTAATAAGGAGGGCTTGTCATAGCTCATTGTTGTCACAGTTGAATGTTTTCACATGATTCCCCCTGGTAGCATAATACCGCTCTTCGAAAGGTGTTATCAAGACGAAAGTACAAACTACTGAGTTCATCGAGTGGAACGTCAATAGTCGTTCAACTAATTTTCGTGAAACACGTGGCGAAAATTTTCGGCGAATGAATAGCTTTCTTATTCATTCAACCGATGGGTTGAGTATAACTTCTGTTGGAAATTCAAGTGGAAGTAGAAATGGCGTGAATTGGAAGTCACCTATATCTTTTATCGTCGGCACGAATTATCATTCTCTACAGTCCTACTCTGTTGAAAGTGGTTTCTCTAACTTAGTTGTGAGCATTTACGTTGTGGATAGATCATTTCATTAAGAGAGTTTCTGTGCCAATTCTCGTGGAAAGACAGAAGCATGGAATTCATCCTGCAGCTAATGGGATTATTTATTATGGGTTAATGAGTAATTGTCAGGGAGTGGCAAATATCTCAATTTTACCGGATTTTATCGACTGGAGGTTAACGCGACTCGATACCCAGTGATTAAAATAATAACGCATGAATGGCGCTGAATGCATTTATGGTCAAGCTAATGATGTTGGAGTATCGTGTATTTTATATATTGTCAGTTGCATTGTGCGGTGGCATTTGAAAAGTTGTGGATGAATGAAATGACAGGGGAGCATGTCACCATTGGAAAATCACACGTGACGTCTGGGCGCTTTTCCATTGCGAGCTGCTTTACAATTCTGACATTGTTAATTTACGGTTTTTCCCCCTCATTTTAACTGTCTCTTATTTGTGTGGAAAATATGTTGGCATATCTGCCTGTACCATGAACCCACGGGTGAACTTTTGCAGCTGATAGCAACTCAAATTGGAAAACAATCATGCATTTAAATGACAGATGAATCGTGGCAGAAATGAACGAAATTAAAAAAATATATGTATTTCATTTGTGTCAGCAAGTTTTGTTCTCTATTTTTATTGAATGGACTGCATTCCCGGGCGAATGAAGATGATCCGGCTAGCAGCAAAGAATAGGAAAATTTTCCATTCACAGAAGATGACCCTCTCGCTCCCTCCAAATGATAGAAAATTCATCAGACAGAGTGATGTTACTCTTTAAGGGATTAAGTTCTCACTTTTCTCGTTCCGCATCCACTCCGGGGACTGCTCTCCTCTCCCTCCACCATCTGTCTCCCCGAACTCGGCTTTTCCTTTTTTTGTCTCCTTTCGTTCCACGCTTTTGAGACTTCAGTGTGTCGCAGTGAGGGATTGAAAAACTTTACCAAGAGGAGCCCGAAAAACCATTACTGAGTGTGCCCCGGCCTTTGGGCCACGTTTTTCATATATCCTGTTTTCTACCCTCCAGTGGACTGTACCAATCTATCCACAGATGTCTCTACATTCTCGAGATGTTGCTGAACCTTAGGTTGATGAAAAAAATGAATTCGTACTGGGGTTTATTGAATAATAAAAGATTGGATCAAGTCGAGAGTATCGCCAAATGTGTAAGACGACAAATACACTCGGTTTGACAGGCTAGCAATAACAATGAGGAAAGCTTGAAGATTAAAGTTGCACGCAGAAACATGGTTTATTTGAATGAAATAAATTTTACTAGAAACGATATATTTGATTCAACTAAAATTTGTTTAATTCAAATAAAGAATTTTGCCGAGTATGATGACATAAAATCACACATTTGCTTTCAAATCTCAGTCAATGGAAATTTCGCCAGTACATGGAAATATTGCGGAAATGATTCCTCTTTTTGAATTTTTACGGCAGTCGAATAAATTCTTGGATATTACCGACACTATCAATTATATAGTAAATTTATTATTTATAGGTATGCATTGAAGTGATGATCAATCATAAATGAATCATTCTCCGATCCATCGAAAGAAATATCAAAGAAATAAGTATTATGATCACTAATCAAAAATGAGTCGCTGAATGAATTATACGAAATCACAATTAGTATTATGATCACTAATTAAAAATGAGTCGATGAATAAATTTTCAAGAAAAAAATCATAAAGCAAGCTTTATTTGACTGACAAGTAAATGCGCATACCATTGTAGAAAATTCATGAATAATTTGAACACCAGCCGAAATTATCCTACATCCGTTCTCCCATAATTTCCTGCAACGATAAATATCAATAGATCTACGCATATGAAATGAGGAAGACTCGAAGAAATTGGCGCGCATCGGCTATAACCATAAATCACGTAATATTTTATGGAATTTTCAAGCACTAAGATCCATACTCACATCATACGAAGAAAGAGTCTCTGTAAATTCATGGAACAGTGTGAATGGATGGAGCTTGGCAAGAAGTCAATACAATTGGAAAATCGATAGCCTGAACCTCCCACTCTCATCCTCATTCTCTATACTTTTTCATTCCAACTAATGCATTGTCTCACGAGAGTGTAGCTGTGTCAAGGGATTTGCATTATATTTTTATCCAACCGGTGTAAATGAGCATGAAAATAATACATCTCTAACGTTCAGAATTCTCAAGCATCGTTGGGACAAATTTACCGCTCATTTTTTTATCCACCCCCCGAAACTTTTTCTCTCTTTTCATCTTCCCTCACGTGAAACTTGGTGGGGTACGCCTTTTCAATCTTATTTTCCAGCAGAAGGCGCGCAAATGTGGTGAGTACGCCATCTGCGAGGACGAGTAGTGGGTGAGTTTGTTTTTTTCGTTCATTTTTTTTACTCGTGTTGTACAATTTCTCTTGAACTCTTTTTCCTCTCTCTCTCTGCGTGAAAATTAAAGTCAACCCTTATGTCACGACGGTAATATATACATCGCGGTTACGTTACTTCCTCCAGCTCCCAAAGGTGCTAAAGTTTTTATGTCCATATGAAACTCTAGGCCGACAAACGAGGTGAAAATATACCCCTTCCCCCCTCCCGACCCTTGAAAGTTCCACGGTATGGGGTTTCCGTAGCTGCATTGTTATTTCGTGAGAAACAAGAAAGTTTTGTGTGTTTTATCGCGGAACCCCTAGAGTAAATGCGTTACCCCCACAGTCTACCATCATTCTAACATGACTGTTAAAACATGGGCTTTCAAAAAGTCATAGTTATAAATCATTCACTGGATAAAGTTTTACAAAAGATGCTAATTAGGGAAACTTGCCGCGGGGGCTGTAGTCCCTTTTTTTTCGCCGAATCTCTTCCTTAAACAATGAAGAATGGTGGCGGAAAAGCGAGTATAAGAGTGATGATGAACTGAGTTACATTCAAGAATCCCACGTGAGAGGTTATGCTGAATAAAACGTTTTAGATCACTGGTGATAAAATACTTCTGAATATCAAATGAAAAGTGTTGAAAAACAATTTATCCTCGGCGCTTTGTTGACAGTGAATGGAAAGCGAAAAAGTCCCAGTGAGATTTCCCGGAGAACTAAAGATGTTTTAGGACCTTGAGAATCTACAGGTAGCGTCGGAGAACAGATAGTCCGCCCAGAAATGGGGAAAAAGCCAGTTGAAACCCAACTGAATATCTCGACTTTATACCTGACTGTTTCAACTCCGTATTCTATGCTCTCGCGTTTTTTTCTCTTCGTCTTCAGGGTTACGTCTACATTACCCTTGGTACTCTCGACTCTCTGCATTGTTGAAAATTTAATGCTAAAAGGTGAATATTTCGGTATATTCTTCTTTTTCCCCTCGTCTCTCTTTCATTTGAAACGATGTAAAATTATGAAAGGGAGAAAAGTGCAATGAGAGAAGAAAATACAATATTCTTTGGTATTTAATTCGTGCAAAAATGTCGCCCCGAGTTTAATTGGAGTTAACCAGCAAAGGACACGATAAGACATGCTTCATTTCCATCGATTAATTAATACAGTTGCAGGTAAGAAGAAGATTGAAAAGTTTAGTGGTTAAAACAGAGAGAAGCTGGAATGAGTGGAGCTCGGTTAAAAATTACGCAGCAAGTTAGCTAATTCCTGGTCACTGTAACGACAGGGAATATCATCAACAAAGTTGCCGCACCGGTACGACACCACAAAGTGTCCACGGGGAGTGGTCTATGTATTCCATGTCCCACATTCTCTAATTTTTTTCTTCTTTGTCATTCAGGCCATTCTCTTAGGACCCTTTGTTCCCTTGCACACGTTAGAATGAGAATTTTTCAAACTACCGGGTAGAGTGCCTCCATTTTCCGGTAGCGGTGTGTACTTGGTGGAATTGTAGTCTGTCGAGGGAGGAGTAATGAAGTTTTTAGAGGTCAGTCCCGCTTGTTGGCATCGTGGGAATTATTTGAGGAATCAATGCAGTAGAAAATGTAATAAAACGAAATAATACCTGTTTGCGGACA